TTCATCAGACCCATCCGATCCTGGCAGCCCCGGCTCTAGGTTTCCATCACCGTTTCTTTCATTTCCGAAAATATTATAACTTATCAGACTGAATTTTTTAATTTTCATTCAAAAGCGATTTGCTTGGGAAATCGAGAACCATCAATAAGAAAAAGATTCCGTCCATCTAAAATTTCTATTAAAGATTAATCTTCTGAAAGATCTTAGATATCACTTTTGGCATTCTTTTGTTTTCCATTCTTTATAAAAATTTAAAAATGAAAAATTTTAAGATTCGAAACGAAATTTAAGGGATTTCAGCCACTGTGCACACAACCAATTTTAGATTCATTACCAATGCATCTTTTCGATACATTTCTATTGGGTATTACTGCTGTTTTTGTGGTCCAAGTAAGTTTCCTAATGGATTGTTTTTCAAATTGAACGGTGTGATTTAGGGCATTTCTACAAATTATGCGCAAATTTTATTTTCAGGCTTGCAATCCTTTAAGAGGACCACCAGGACGGGATGGACGGGATGGAAATGTAGGAGACCGAGGGGAGCCGGGAGATGAAGGACCAGTTGGAGACGAAGGTCCTCCTGGGTTGCCTGGAATTAAAGGTCCACCAGGAGAAGAAGGAGATGTGGGATTGCCTGGAGATATTGGCGATCCGGGACTGCCAGGTATAAGGGGACAAAGAGGACCACCTATGGGAGGGTAAAAGTTACAGGCAATGGAATTTGTCTAAGATATTGATCATATTTTGGTTATTTTTGTTTGCACCAACCTATTGTGATGTTTTCGGTTATGTCATGAAATTCATAGACCTGAAATTGTTGTCGGCATCTTTATGGAATTTGCTTAGAAATGTTGCAGCATAAAATTTAAAGTTTATGAATAATCGTTATCATATAACAAGAATACTTTTTGAAAGTGACAAATTTTATGATTAACGACAAATAAAATATTTCTTCCCCATTGTATTATTTTTACCGTCGGGCAGATTTTTCAGAATTTTATAGATTAATATATAATTACGACATTTCCGATATATTTTTCTTCATATTTTGCAATACGAAAAGTTTTAAGAGCCTTATTGTTTTTTATAAAATGCAAGTTATGATGCAATCTGTTTCTTTGTTTACTCGTTAAAAAATAATTATAATGCATATTTTCCTACGATGAAATGACAATTATTTCATTAAATTCAAACTATCATCCTTATTATTAATAATCTCTCGTTATTTCTAATAATCATCCAACTTTCTCCATTCTAGTTTACAATAATTTTGATCAGATTGATCAGTCTGTCCGAGTTGCTGACGAAATGATCGATGGTGATTATCATTTTTCTGGCCAAGTAACATTTGTTAATAATTATTCAACAATTTATCAGTCCGATATAATCCATGTGTTTTTTATTTCCATCGGTTAACTCTTCGAAATTATTATTATTACATTATTTTTAACGAACTCACTCGTCTTCTTCTAATTGAATTAAAAGACTTATGGCCAATAATATCTTCATTATTTACTCCTTCCATAATGATTCTTTTTTACTATTTTACACCATTTTAAACCAATTTCATTATCAGATTTTCTTTTAACTATTGATAGAGAGAACATGGCTTTATTTATATTTCACCCGAAAAGTGTGAAGTCGTTTGAAACCGTTCATGTAAACAAGTGTTTAAAAAAGTTTCATTGAGTTCAGAAATTAAAGATTTTGATTTGTGAAAATTTATCGAAGTTAATTGAAAATGTTGGACAATAATGAGGTTGTATTTTGAAAATGAGCGAAGTTTTGGTTCATTAAGTCCAAATTTTATATTCCAATGTTTATTAGCAAATTCCGTTAAGGCACCGATTATAATTTTAGACGTTTTGTGACATAGTTTCCATTATAAATAGAAAAGTTCTGTTCGAAATTGACTTTACTGATTTCCAATTTAACATCTTTTCTCAGCTGGCCGACGATATCATAATTTTGGCTAGGATTTCTGTGTTCTAAACAATCATGGAAGTAAAGGAGGCCCAGGACTACAAGGAGCGGTAGGGCCTCGAGGACTGAAGGGTTCAGTTTTCTAATTTAATTGAAATTTTTGAAATACTTTAAATATATATTTCAACTTGGGTATCAAAACATTCGAATTAATACAAACAACACTTATTGTATACGAACAGTAAATCCTTTTTTTGCTTTCCTCTATTGAGAAGTAATATCTGCAACTGCATAAAGTGATCCGGAATATTGGTTTAAAATGTTGAAATATTCCTCGTCGTTAAAGTTTTATAGCTTAATGAGATGTTGCACTACCGTAATGATTTATTATTAAAGGACAAAAAATATAAATAAAAACTGTAACAACTTCAAAGAGCACATTGATAACAAATATACGCCAGAATGAATTATTGAATGTTTGTCAACTGATGACAGATCTCACTTTGCCACGGAATGATAGCCTATTAGTCATTTTGCGAGTGACTTTGACAGATTAATCGATGCGCTCAAAGTTGGATTAATTGAAGATTATAAATTATAACAAAAAAAGGCGACTAATTAACAAAAAGAACTAAAGATTATTTATATTAAGAATAGAAAGTTAAAATTAATAAAATTATGAATCGATGAAAGGACTGATATTGTAATTATAATTCCGCCGCGGGAAATTGATATTACAATTAAATGCAATTTTATTTTTGTTATTTCACAGTTACAATTATAATGCAATAATATTCAGTTCGTATCAGAACCGATATAATTATGTAATATGGAACGGTTAAAATAATTAAAGTAAAATTATATTGCAGAAATCCGTACTATAAAAATTTCACAAATTAGTGATTGAAATTGTTTTAAAATTTTAAGCTCCTTATAATTGCTTATTGTTTCGGTACCTAAAAGGACTATAAATGGTGCGCCTCGATTTGGTTAAGTCAATGTGATCAGTAGCAGTGTTACGAGCTATATAAATCAGTATCACAATTTGTGATAACATCATGAACGATCTTGCTTATCAGTGTTGCCAACTAACAACGGATCGACTTTATCTGGGAAATTTTCAAAAATTTCGCACAATAGAAAATTTCAAAAAGTTTTCTCGTTGTATGATAATGATGATTGAACGCTTTATAAATTTTATATCGCCTTGGCTTCCAGATGGTCCCGGCATTCCGGGTTCTCCTTGTGGACCTTCTACACCTCCTGTTATTTCAATTCCGTAAAAGGAAATTCCCTCAATCTATAATACTGCATGATGAATATGTCGGCAGCGCTGATAGAATGACCAATGTGATCAGAATTGGAATAATTGAAGATTGGAGCACAGAAAAAAGACAGC